TGCTGCTGCTGCTGCTGCTGCTGCTCCTGGTGCTGCAGAACGCCGACTTCCGCTGCCTTTCGAATCCCGTGGCGCTGCTGCTGCAGCCGTGGCTACTGGCGCTCCTTGCGCTGCTGCTGCTGCAGCTGCTGCTGCTGCTGCTGCTGCTGCTGCTGCTGCTGCTGCTGCTGCTTGGCAGCTCGCTTGATAATCAACTCGGGGTTTAGGCGCGAGGCGGCGCTGCGCTCGTCCGCAGAAAAAGGCGAGAAGTCGAGGGCCTTGAGGGAGGGCAAAGCGGCCAACACTGTCAGCCTGCAAGCCACACATGCAGCAGCAGCAGCAGCACCAGCAGCAGCAGAGGTCTCTGAGGCGTTTCAAACTGTTTCTTGCCAGCTTCTAGGTCTGTGTTTGTCAATGAATGCACATTTAAATATATATCTGTGTACTTATATATTTATCTACTTCATTTATTTATTAATGCATGCAATGTTCAGGTGTTTCTATGAGAGTGGTCTTTCTGTGGGGCCTTCAGCTGCGTATACACCTGGATAAAAGTTGCATTTGTGAATTATTTGTCCACTTGTTTACTCATTGAATCGATTAATTGAAAGATGCATTTGCAAATCGTTTATTTATTTATTTATTTATCTATTTATTTATTTGTTTATTAAATTGAGTGATTAAAAAGGGAGAAAGCATTCTGAAACTTGACTAAGGAGCCTTTGAATGGGTTGACCCCAAGGGCAAATATATGAAAAAATGAACGAGAATTGACAATTTAGAGATAAAATAATAAAACAAAACAATAATTGCATTCTAAAAAGAATTAAATAAAACAATTCTACGTAAAGAATCCAAACTCTTAACTGCCCGAAGTTCAAATTCGAGTCGCGACTCATGGGGTGTACGTACACCACAAGAACGCGATCTCAACAACGGAGCTTCTCGTTCTTGGCGGCAGCAGTTATAAACAAATAAATGATAAATAAAATACTAAATGTAAATAAATAAACCTCAAAGGTCAAACTAATAGAATATTAATTTGAGTAAATGATCTTCAAAGTGCCTCAGTTTGCAGTTGGGTTCAACAAAATGAGAAGAGGCGAGGAAGAGTCGGGAAGTAATATCAGAAACAAACAAAGAGTTGAGAAAAGAACTAAAATACTTTTTAATTTAAACAAAAATTTTATTTCTTTAAAAGAAACAAAACAGAAAATGATCATTTATTTAAGAGAAGCAAAACGGCCAAACGCCGCGCTCATCTGCAGTGTACGTACACCCGAGAAACGGGACGCCCATTTTTAAAAGCAACTCCAGCAGCCACAAAAACTCTTAAAGAGAAATTAATGGCAGCAGCAAACAGCAGCACACAGCAGCAAAGTGCAGCAAACAGCAGCAAAATGCAGCACACAGCAGCAAAGTGCAGCACACAGCAGCAAAGTGCAGCAAACAGCAGCAAAATGCAGCACACAGCAGCAAAGTGCAGCAAACAGCAGCAAAGTGCAGCACACAGCAGCAAAGTGCAGCACACAGCAGCAAAGTACTGCAAACAGCAGCAAAGTGCAGCAAGGAGCAGCAAAGTGCAGCAAGGAGCAGCAAGGAGCAGCAAGGAGCAGCAAAGCGCAGCAAGGAGCAGCAAAGTGCAGCAAGGAGCAGCAAGGAGCAGCAAAGTCACCTGTATTGTTTGCCGAGGAGGAGCTCGACGGGGTTCGCCATGAGAGTGAGGAACTTGAGAGATTTATTTTGTCGCAAAAAGAAAAGAGAAGAGCCGTGGAGGACTTGGTTGCAGTGTATGTACAGACACACGAGCGCATGCAGCTGCGCAACAGCAGCAGGAATGGCTTTGAAGCAGTTGAAAGACAAGTCCAGCCACAGCAGCTGCTGCTGCGGCTGCTGCAGCAGGCCCCGAAGCAGCAGGCCCAGCCCGGGCGCCTCCTGCAGCAAGTTGTTGTTGAAGCGCGCTGCTGTTGTGTGTCTCTTCACCAGCACCTTTTGCTGCTGCGTGCTGCGGCTCTTCTCTGCTGCTGCTGCTGCTTCTTTGCTGCTCTTCAGGCCGAAGCAGCAAACTGACACCACTCTGTCGCTGCGCGTGAGGCAAACGGACTTGCGCACAACGGGCGAGCTGGACACGGACCTGCGGGCTTTCCCGCTTGCTGCTGCTGCTGCTGCTGTTGCTGCCGCTGCTGCTACAGCAGCGGCAGATGGCGGCGACACCGCATCCGCCGGCTCCAGCAGCAACGCGGCACCCGCAGAGAGGGCACCTCCCTCTTGCTGCTGCTGCTGCTGCTGCTGCAGGGCAGCGTCTGCTGCTTCCGGCCTCGCGCTACTGTCTATGTTCAAGTCCGACAAGCTGCTCAAATTGCGAAAAGAAAAGTCCAGAGGAGGGCCAGGCACAGATACAGTGTAGCGATGAGGTGCAGGAGTTGGCATTTTGAATTTAAATCTGCTTTCGCCTTTTTTCAAACCGTCACTGGCTCCTCTTTTCAGCTTTTTTGGATTCAAGATTTTCTCATGCGATTACCAGCTGTAGGAGTCTGAAACACCCCGCAAAGGACGCGTTTTGAAGGAAAATGCCAATTCGGGAAAAAGGTTTCGGAAATGGAAAAGTGTTTAGAGGTGAAAGCGCTTTTCGTGTTTTCGTCGCTGCCTCGGGTGTACGTACAGCGGTGGCAGCGCCTACGAACGCCGCACGAACTGAACTTGAAACGGAATTTCTGTTGCAAAACGGTGAAACGAGAAAGCAATATTATTTAAAAACTGCTGGGGGTTAAATTAAAAGTCCCTTTCAAAGAATCCCGCGGACTTGAATTCGATCGAGGCTAAGGCTCCCTGGCCCCGGAGGTCACTTCGCGCGCCCCACAAAAACGGCGCCCTGAACACGCCATTTTCTTGGTTTTGAGTGCAAATAAGCACATAAATGCAATTAATTAAACATTTTAGACTTGGACATCTTTAAAAATAGCCAAAACAGCGGCAAATCCGCAGAGAACATTGAACTGGGAGCCCTGAGCGGTGCTCGGCGTCGCCTTCCTGGAGGCAGCAGTTGCGTCTGTCTTCGCCGCAGCCTTTTCGGCTTTTCGGATTTAATTTTGAAATAAAAAGAGAAATAAAGTTATAGGAGGAGTGCGGCCTCGAAGCGGAGCTGCGGCCTTTGCTGCAGCGGCGAAAGCTAGGAGTCTATCTGCCTGTTCAAGTGCTGCTGCTGCCTGCGCTGCCAGCGCCGCGCTGCTGCAGCAACTGCCCGCCTTCCCGCCGCCCCGAGTCCTTCACTTGCACCAAACCTTCCTCGCAAAAGACCCCGGAGCCAACTCCCCGCCGCCCCCGCCTCCGCCGCCGCCGCCGCTGCTGCTGCTGCTGCTGCTGCTGCTGCTGCTGCTGAAAATGAAGCGGCTCTTCGCGCTGCTGCTCGCCTGCCTCCTCGCGCCCGCCCGCGCGCAGCAGCAGCCCCTCAGCCCCCGCAACGCCCTCGGCCAAATGGCCTTCCAAACGCTCATCAACAAAACTGTTCCCAACGCCCTCCGCCGCGGGGCCCCCGCGGGGGCCCTGCGCTGAGCCCGGGGTACTTCAAAGCCCCAAGTCTTCAGTTTAGCCCCAATTTCGGGCTCTAACGTCCGCAATTTCTTCAATTTAACCCCCATTTCGGGCTCTAATGTCCGCAATTTCTTCAAGTTTATCCCAAATTCAGGTTCTGAATCCATCAAGGTCTTCAGTTTGACCCCAAATTCAACTTCAAAGCCATCCAAGTCTTCAATTTAATCCCAATTTCAGGTTCAAATCCATCAAGTTCTTCGCTTATGGCCCAAATTCAAGTTCTAAATCCATCAAGTTCTTCAATTGTGGCCCAATTTCAAATTCAAATTCCATCAATTTCTTTACTTATGGCCCAAATTCAGGTTCTAGTGTCTTCAAAGTCTTCAAATATATTCAAGTTCTAAACGTATCAATTTCGTCAATTTTATCCCAAATTCAGGTTCAAAATCCATCAATTTCTTCAGTTTAATCCCAAATTCAAGTTCTAAATGCATTAATTTATTCAATTATATCCCAAATTCAGGTCCTAAATGCCTTAATCTCTTCAATTTTATGCGAAATTCAGCATTTAAAACCCTCAAAGTCTTCAAATTTGTGCCAAATTCAGCCCCAAATGCATCAAATTCTTCAATTGAAATCCCAAATGCAGGTTCTAAGTGCATCAAATTCTTCAAATAAATGCAAAATTAATCCCCAAAACTCTTTAATTCTTCAATTAATGCCGAATTAAGCACCAAAACTCTTTCAATTCTTCACTTAAATACCAAATTAAACATCAAAACTCTTCAAATTCTTCAATTAAATGCAAAAGTGCATCCATAAACTCTTTAAATTCTTCAATTAAATGCAAATATAGATACATAAACTTTTTAAATTCTTCAATTAAATGCAAAAGTCCATTCCCGGAATTCTCACGAAGACCCCCACGGCCTTCGCCGCAGAAGTTCTTCTCTCTTTCCCCCTTGCAGGTCCTGCAGGTAAAACATGCAGCAGCTATAATTAATTAATTAATTAATTAATTAAACTAATTAATCAATTAATTAATTTAATTAATTAATTAATTAATTAAGTCGCCAAGAAAGGCGAAGACAAAAGAGAAACTGAAAACGCATTTCGGTTTTTTTCTTTTTGGGACTTTTGCTGCACCAGTGCCTGTCTCCAGGTGTACGTACACCGCAGACGCAGATTTAGGATCAACAGCAACAGCTGAAAAGACAAATCACTTTTCTAAATTCACTTTGCTGCTGCTTTTGCTGCTGTGCGCATGCATTTGTCTATTTTGCAAATTGAAAATTTAGGCAAAAAGTCTGCACTTAGAACATTCTCAAGTTGCAATACATTCAAAAAATATATATATAATAAAATAGTGCTATTAATGGTATTTTAATTATGTTCTTGAGAGCATTCTCAAGTTGTAATACATGCAAGTGAAATAAATAAAATATATATTATTATATACTACTATTAAAAGCATCTTCCTTTCAGTATGCTGTTGCGGGCTCCCACGGTGTATGTACACTGTAAATGCACCTGCGGCAGCCAAAAAAACCGCAGGCGCTTGCAGCTGCAGCAGCAGCAGAAGACAAAGTGCTAGCAGCTGCAGCAGCAGCAGAAGACAAAAAGTGCTAGCAGCTGCAGCACAAGCTACATGCAGCAGCACTACTGCGCTACAGCAGCAAAACAAATGGCCACCTCCCCAGCAAGCACAAAAGCAGCGAGAAGGAAGTGTAAATCGTACTCTCCCCTGTTGCTGCTTTTGCTGCTGCTGCTGCTGCTGCTGTTGCTGCTGCTGCTGCTCGCTTATCACTACGCATACAGGTTGTTTCTAAAGCTTTGCATCTCAATTTGCAAAACTCCGGGGAGAAGTCAATATATTTATAAAGGCCTGAGTGCGCATCTTGTGAGTTGAGTCCAAAAAAGAAAAAAGGAAAATAAAAGGAAATAAAAGAAAAAAATGAAAAAACAAAAGTCTAAACCAAACAAATAACAAATTAAAAGCCTAGAAGAGCATGCACTGATTTGCTGCAAACGGAAGACGCAAATGTCAGATGAAACGCGAAAAAGACAGTCTCCTCAGCTTGCTGCTACTCTTGCTGCTGCTGCTGCTGCAGCCGCTGCTGCTGCTGCTGCTGCTGCAGCCGCTGCTGCTGCTGCTGCAGCCGCTGCTGCTGCTGCTGCTGCTGCAGCCGCTGATGCTGCTGCTGCAGCTGCAGCTGCTGCTGCTGCTGATGCAGTGGATAAAGGCTTTTCGCGTTTGGCTTCCTCGGCGTTTTGGCCTCTCGGCTAGCAGAGGCCCATGAATCCCGCGGACTTGAAATCGTTTTCTATTTCCTGCTCAGCAGCAGAAAAAGAAATTAAAAAGAAAACAAATAAAAGAATAAATTAATTTAAAGCCCAACTTTCCCACTACAAAACTCATTTCAAAGAATCATTCAAATGCCAAACAGCAGCACTTGTGTTCAAATTCAAGTTCGCAAGCAGCACTTCTTGGAGAACTTTTATTGCAATTCAGAAATGCAAATTTGCATTTTAATTTGCTGCTTCAAAGCCAAGTCCTTATTCGTTAAAGACGCACTTCAAAGGCCTTCAGTGCCTTCGCCAAATCCTCCACAGAGCCGCACAAGCTCCCCAGCGCTTCGCTGCCATTCGCCTGTTCTTCTTCTTCTTCTGCTGCTGCTGCTGCTGTTTGCTGCAGCGTTGCGTTCCGGCCTCTGTGCGCTTCTGCTGCAGTAGCGTCAGCAGCAGCAGCTGCTTCACTTGCTGCAGCAGCTGCGCCTTGCTGCTTCTGCACAAACTCGCCGTGAATGGAACTGCATTCACTTTCTTCCTGCAGCAGCAGCTCTAGCTTCTCCGCAGAAATGCCACAAAGAGTTTCGTCGAAAAAAGAAGAAGACAAGTCCTCCGCAGCAGTAGCGCTGGGCTTCAGAGATTCCGCAGGAAGCAGGCAATAAGGAGCTGCAAAGAAGAGGAAAATGACAGAACATCACCGACAATAAAAGACTTTCTTGAATTCACCTTTAAGTCCCCCCTTCCGGCAATAAAACTGCGTGATCAGCCCTATGCATTCGTGTGCAACAAAAGTGCAAAAGAGCGCAAATTCAGGTGTATAGCCACCTCTCCACGTGAAGACCGGCCAACATGCAAAACTTGAAAACAGCTATTTGCAAGTGTCTGGTGCCAAAGTAAAGCAATTGAAAGGCCTGGCAAAAGTAATAATGAATATATAAAAGAAACTGCACTCTTGGTGGGAGAAAAGAAGGCAGTTTGCTGCCAAGAGGCACTCACCCACGGGCCGGATCGAGTTGGCGGGTTGCATCTTTTCCAGATTCGAAGAAGGCTTTCTTATTCCGCCTCCCCTTTTGTCTTTTTTTTCTAAGTTTTCGTCTTTTTGCGCCTCCAGTTTGCTGCTGCCGAAGCAAAAGATCTCCAGGTCGAGCTCGGAAAGCGCGAGTTCCCGCAGCGCCCGCTGCTCGAGTTTCTCCGCGGCCGCAGCTGCAGCAGCGCAGCAAATGAGGGGCGGCAGTCCGCGGCAGGAAGGAGCCTTTTGGGGGCCTGGGAAGCTGTCTTGTGCCTCCAAAAGAGGCGCATTTGGCGCTCGAAATGCCCCTCTTTTGGAGTCTTTTGCCTCCAAAAGAGGGGCATTTGGAGCGCCACCCTCTTCTTCTGCAAATCCAAAAAGGCCAACCCGCGCAGCAGCCTCCAGCGACTGCAGCGCCGCAGCCAACTCCTCCAGGGGCTTCAAGATGGCTGCTGCAGCGGGAGAAGCCAGGAAGCCGCGGAGGCTTTCTTGAATTTGCTGCAGCTCCTGCGGACTCGGCGGAGGCTTGCGAGTCGAGCTGCAGCGCGCAGCAGCAGCAGCAGCAGCAGACGAGGCCGACGCGCAGAGCCGCGGGGGCTGCGTGCGCGCGGCTGCGTACAGACAGCTGCTGCTGCTGCTGCTGCTGTCGAGCCACAAGCTGCTGAACTCCGCGTCTTCGCGCAGCAGCCGGTCTTCAGAATTCATTTCTTCTTCCAACAACTCTTCCGCGCCTTCTGCTGCGAGCAGCTCTTCGTCCAAGTTGTTGAACTCGCTCTCCGACAGCAGCCCGTCGCCCCGCGCGTCGCCCCCCCTCTCCGCTCCGCCCCGCCCCCCGCTCCTGCTGCTGCTGCTGCTGCTGCTGCTGCGGGGCTGCGCCAGGGGAGGCGCTGCTGCGCGCGGCGAAGCTGCCTCCGAGAGCCCTCCGCGGGAAAGCCCGCCGGGGCGCCCCGCGCCGCTGCCCTCGCCCCGCTTGCTGAGCAGGCCCCCCGCCGCAGCAGCAGCAGCAGCAGCTGCT